TTAATTGTAGGAAGATTTCTTTAGCCTCAAATAAAGAGTGAAACTAAGCTGGTAGCCACAGAACGCAGTTGCTGCTCGCGTTTTCTGTGAAAGATCACGTCGATTATTAGCCAGCAACGTTGGTGGATTATGGGCCGTTAATGGATCATAACAATCTGTTCAGGTTAGCCACGGCTTGGTAATGAGCACACGGACGTCTCTCCGAGTGAAAAACATACTAAACGACTTTGGATGATTCCAGAACAAAATAGACATTACCTCCAACACGTTCTCACCGTTAAGCTGCCTCGTTATAAAGAAACCATTTAGTAGAAAAGAACGTTTTTAAAAGTGGATGGAAAATTATTGTTATAGAGAAAAACGAAAACTTTTCCAATTACATGTGACGTAATATACAGTGAAGGTTGACCCTGCATGGATGATATGTGCTTTAGAAAAAAAAAAAGATTTGATTTAGCCTTTGTTTTTGCTGTGCTTGGGTGTCTCCTCTTTCTCGTCTTATTTTTGTTCAGTCACATTTCGCACACGGATCGTGTTGCATCTTTTTTACAAAAGCACACTTTAAAGTCTTCCTTTTGTTACTTTTCAATCTTTCTCACGCCGTCGTGTTCTTCAATGTTTTGCCAGCGCCGCTGTCCCTTCATCCTCTCGGTTGGCTTCACATCTCCAGAGCTGCAGAGTAAACAACCGACTGACTGCTGTCATAGCACCTACCCCCTCCCGTGTTTAAAAAAAAAAAAAAAAAAAAAAAGAAGAGGAAAAGAAAATACGCCACAATGTCCTCCACTCCACAAAGACACACTAATGCCCAACACTGCTTTGCACATATCCAGAGATCTGACACCACAGAAAAATATCTATGTGCTGACTGTCGCAGCCGTATGGCCTCGGGTGCGGCGGCTCCAGAGACGCAGGCAGACAAAGATGGACACGTAGACCACAGAAGAGACGCACAGTGCTGTCATCTTGAGTGCAGCACAGAAACAGTGCAGAGAAGAAGAAGAAAAAAAATAAAAATAGTGATACTGGGGAAGACTTGAAGGCAAGAAAAAGTGATCAAAATAGATCAAAAGAGAGGGATCTCAACTGACATCCCCTCAAATGGATTCTGTAACCGTCGTTCGCTCCGTCAGTCTGTAAATATTTGTCGGCGCGGCGAGTTTCCGATAAACATTTGAGACATAAACAGACAAACAGGCAGCATTTTGATCTGTCAACACGGCTTGGATAATTTCATAAACTGATCTGAGGCTGCGTTCGTGCAGCTTGATGCTCTCCAGAGTGCAGAGATCAAGCGGGCTTTTGAAATTTTAATCAAAACAGACAAGTGATCCATCTCTTTGTGATTCCATCTTTTCCGCTTGCGCTGCCACTCGGCTTCATGAGGGCAGTCCTCCGGATTAATTGAAAATTTTAGTCTATTGCTTGTGCAATTTTAGCTAGGTAGTTCTTTACTGTAGACCAGGTTAGGCAAACACATTTTTAAGCACTTTGGGGATCGTGGTTAACGGGAACATCCAACTGTTAACCCCAAGATAACTGGAAAACATAACAATGGGAACCAAACTTGATGCTAACCAGATGCATTACAATTTATAGCAGGTTTGAACTCAAGAATACTGCAACTGAATCAAATGCTCCTTCAGGAAAGCATTAGTTTAATGGTATACTTTTAGCAAATGTTTATTTTTCAGTTGAATTGTACAAATACATGATACATTAGAGGTGTCTGTGTTTGATTTTTTCATTATAATCACTAAACACTTCAAAATGTGGTGTGTGTATAGTTTATATTCACCGATGTGCATTTTTAATCCTTCTCAACCAGTTTTGGTGCTTCATTCCTTATTGTATCCATTCATCGATCTGACTTTTCACAGACTTTCAACACATTGATTAACACTTATCCAGGATTCGTAGAAGGCCTTCATGATGAGCGGAAACCGAGAGAAATGTACTTTTATCCAAACTAAACGTTTGAAGGTTCGAACCATATTTTTCTTCCATTTCAAAGCTGGAGTGTTTTAACTCAACTCCAACATATTATGATGATATTTAGCTTATTTTCTTACTCTGTTTTTCTGTTTCATAATTAAATCCAACAAAAAGGGAGGGGGTATCGATTCAGATTCGTACATGATGCCAAATGATGAGGAGAATATGTAATTTCATTCAAATAAAAAGATCTAGAGACTTTTAAAAAGGTGTAATGAGAAGTCGAGCGGTGAGTTTTAGCCTCGACCCAAATTATTAACCAAATATTAGAGTTTTCCATTCACCAACACAGGCAAGCTTTTAATTATTGAGACTTTGGATCAATTAAACAGCTACACAAAGTCCAAATTTACATTTGGACATGCAGAACTTGTAATGATATTTTTTTTTGTCAACATTACAAAGCAGATGAGTGAGATTGCTGAGCGGTTGTGATTATATTACTGGCTAGTTTTAATGTAGTCTTTCATTTTCAATGGAAGTTTCTATGTTATGATTCTAACTTGAATATATAAATGTAAACATTCTAGCCTCACTGTTATTCATTTCGACTGTGCAATAACAAATTTTCTTTCAAACCAGGTTCTATTTGACTGAAAGTCAAAATATTTCATGATCCCAACACAACACATGAAGTTTCACCTCGCTTTAATCGTTGATACACGGCGCCCCACTTAAGTCCACAAAACAATACGTCTGAAGTCCATTTTGGAGTTGACGAGGCTGTAATTTTACTTTCATGCCATCACATCAGAGCTGCCACGCTGCGACACAAAAATGCACGGCAAGAGCACAACAGATTGAAAGAGGCTCCTGCAGCAAAGCTGCTGTCGGCACAGAGCGCCGTGGCAAAATCTGAGCAGCCTGAATCTGCAGCCAGCCTCGGAGACGGCAATAACGAGAGGGAAAGGAACAGTGGGATCAGCTCGACAATGACAGCATCACTCTGGGCTGATTTTACTTTTTACTCCGTCTCATGTCACAAGTGGTCACAACATGTCATACCGTGTGACAACAACATCTGCACTGTAATTAATGTCAAAAAAGAAACGTGAAATAGTGCTTGGAACGGAGTCAAGGCTCCCATGACTGCAAGCCACATTAATTATGAGTCCTGCCGCCTCGAGACTGCTGCAGGGATTCAATCAACTGAGAAAGAAGAGCTTTTCACACGCTATAAAGCAGCTGTGTACTGTAAGAATCACTTATACTAATTAGAAGATGCTTTATTCTCCACTGTCGTGCATCTCATTCAGTTAGTTTGCGTTTGTTGATATAATTAAAGCATCACCACATCACTATAGCAGTGAGAGGAGACATTTAGAGCTCTTTTACAATGTTTTACTTCCATCCAGTGGTATTTATTACAAGTGGAAACCAGAAAGAGGGCGGGGAGGGAATAAAGGGAGAAAGAATAGAGAATGTAATCCAACTGAGAACAGGAGGTCAAGACTCGATTCTCAAACAGTGAATGCATGGCAGTGAACTTTGCCAACATGAGGTTATTGCTTGAACAAAATTGTGCACCCTTAAAATAAAAATGCAGACCGTAAAAGACAAAAACAAAAAAAAAAGAGAGATGGAGTTGGACCTTTATGGTACAAAAACAAGTCCATTCTGAAACGCGCCCAGATACTGTTTACAGACGCATCAAAAAAAAAAAATTAGAATATCGTTGAAATTTTCTTTGTATTTCAATAACTTAATTCGCTAATTTCACACAGCCTGATGTTTTCGTCATGTTGGTTATGATTTTACACATACGGCTAGTGAAATCACAACATGATTTCTTAGAAGATTAGAATATTACATCCGACTAATAAAATACGGCTTATTTTCAAACAAACAAGTGTCATCGGACCGCATATCTAAATTTACTAGAATGTGCCTGTTTGCTATGAAGACTCGTTGAAAAACGAATCACGTTTTTGAAAGCTCTGTCACTACTTGACTTTTCAAAAATCGTACGCTTCAGCCCTACCATGCATCTACAAGCGCAACAGACCTCATCAATTTGAAAGTATGAAACCTTCTTCATGATGCTGCATTTTTTTAAAGTGCAGCACAATGAGCGATCAATGAACTCAAACAAGACCAAAAAATTTTCCTTTCAAAGTATTCACACCATTTTTACAGATAAGTGTACAACTGTAACGTTGAAGGAAAAGCATATACAATTTTCTACCATCAAAACAATGAACACACAATCTCCACACTGACATCTGGTAGTGGCAGGATCATGATGTGGGGGCGATTTGCTTCAGATACACGGAACCTGGTCAAAATTAAAATTTATGTTCACAAACATTCCCACAGCCACTTTTACAAAACAGTGAGCAAACATTTCATTTCCTAGAGCTGCAAAAATGGCAGAAATCAGTGCAAAGGACTCGTAGCCGGAACTGTAAAAATACTGAATCGGGGAGGCTCAACAAAAATACGAAGCTTGCTTTCTGGAGTTTCGTTTCCAAAACATGGACTTAGGATGACATTTCCCTCCAAAATGTCAACCAGTCTCAAGAATTAATTGAGCAAAACATACTAGATTACTTGTGCCAAGCAACCTGTGCCCCCACCAACCTAGGCGATACCCAAAAAAACGTAGAAAGCAGGAAGGGTTGCTATAGAGAACGAAGCATTTCCTAACAGTATCAAGCCATCAAGGGCCTTTCTATGTTGGCTCCTTCCATACGCTCATGCATAGAAAACCTTAATGCACACTAAGGTGATATTGCAGTTAAAGCATTTCCGTACTGATTACAGTGATGTTCTAATAACAAGTTGTGATACACTGTATTGTGCATCCCTAATTTAAAACTAGGAATCCTTTTCAATTCACTACCCTACTTTGTCTTGCTCCATCGTCTTACATCCAATAAAAATCATAGTTTAAACATAGCATGATTATATTTGCAGGGCACAGAATATAACAAGGAAAAGTCAAGGTGTTTTTCCCCAGAAGGAGGGGGGAAAAAAAAAAAGCTATAATAAATGTAATTTCTTACCAGTTTCTCTGGAAATCTGGACGAAGGCCTCCACGCCGCTCTCCCCGTAGTTGCCCTCCGAGGCCAACGTGGACACGTAGTTCCATTCCATCGCCGTGACGATGTCCATCATGGCCTGAGCCTGGTAGGAGTCTGGCGGCACCACACGGGAGAAGAAGTCGTAGCGGCTGTTGTCGCTCAGCTCCGGCGCGGTGGAGGCGTAGCTGATCTGGGGGATCTGGAGAACAAAGAGGACGCTGGTGACACGGAAAACAACACGCGGCATAATTTCCTTTTTAAATACTCGTTTCATGAGTGACAGTTTAAAGTAGAGGAGCAGGAGAGAGGGGGAAAAAAACGGCGGAACTGATGTCCAATACAAAGTCAACAGAATGACAGAAGACACACAAACACACATGTTGCTTCTGATGATGGGCGATGAAACAGCAACGAAGGTGTTCGTTGGCTGACAGGCCGATAGATTTTTCCCCGACAGAGAAGGGACAGTAAAGGTGGGCCTGCACCTGTCAGCGTTGACAAAAACGCACACACCGACGACAGTCGCATCTCATTGGCATTCAATCGGGTAACACTAATCTGCCAATCTCAACACAAACACCAGGGCCGTCGGTTATCTGTCTTCCACACACTCCGCATACACACGCGCGCAGACACAATACATTACAGTTGCTGAACGTAGCAAATCCAGTTGGTTACAGAGTAAAGAGTTTAAGACAGATGGTGTGTGTGTGTGTGTGACTGGAATGTTGCTGAAGATCATCACTCACTGTCTCTATTCCCTTCGGGCTTCATCTCAAATCTCTGCCATCCACCGTCTACACTTGTCCCTTGCCATTTTAAAAGGTTAGGGATCTATTTTGCCAGACTTTTGATGGCTCCGGAGCTTTGCTGTAAGCAGATTTAAATGGCTCTGACTTTCACGATCAATGCATTGGCCCGCGCTGGGTTTGATAAATAACAAATTAAGACTGTAACTCACCATTAATCATTCACTGCAAATCAAAGTGAGGGAAGGATAACATTTTATGTATACATGTAAATAATGAGCCCAAAATAGTTTACAGTGCACTTGGTGTGACACAGTTAGAGGACCATTTTATCAGACATATGAAAGTCAAACTAAAATTTTAATGTTTAGATGTGAGCTTGGTTCAGTGTGACAGATTATAATCTCTGGTACACCTTTCCAAAAATTTAAGGCTATCAATAAAAAGTTTTAATCCACTTGACAAAATTCTTCATAAATATTGATTCATTGTAGTGGCTCTCAATACAAGGTATGTGTTATTTGAATTATAACGTGCTGCTAAGTTGCTTTATGGTTAAATCTTTTTTGGTTTTGCCATGTCCTGGATGGCTGAGAATCCTCAAGTAGGTACAAATAATTAAGATCTGAGAAGTATAACTGAAACTTAACGTTTTATAGAAAAATGTGCCGATTTCTTTTTTTTTCGTGTTTGGTTTTAGAGGCTCTATGTTGAAAACGGAAAGAAATAAAAGCATACATTTCCGTTTTTCTCCATCTCTCTCGGCTCCCACACGTCAGCTAGTTGTAGTGCTTAGTCCCTCCCATTCGAAACCGTTAACATAAAAGAGCTAAATATAATTGAGATATTTGCTACCTTCAATGTAGCCATTTTGCTAGTTTTGATTTCCAAGGCATAACAAGGCTGTTTATCATGATTCAGCCAAAGTAATAAAAATAATGAACTGCAGTCTGATTTTTATTGTTAATGTGTTTCTTCCTATCGAGCAGTGAAAGTAAATAAAAGGTTTACAAGTCTTTTGGTTTGAGTTTTCACTTACCGAAGGTTGGTTGTTGTTTGTGCTGCAGAGCCACGGCTAACGGCTAACAGCTAACGGTTAGCTCCTCACTTCAGCGGCTCTAACGGAGCCATTCACAGCGCGACTGTTGCTCCTCCTACACTTTGGACTGAACCATTGTTCTAACAATGGCGGGGGTGGACCTCCAAATTATTATTTTTTTTCTCTTTGATGATTGGAGGATTTACTTCGTTCTTTGTTTCTTTCGCTTTTCAAATTAATATTGTTTAAATACCAAGGTTTTTTTTAATGATTTTTTTTTTGTGTGTGTGTGTGGGGGGGGGGGGACCATTCTAGACTTTTCCAAGATTGGGAAAAGTCTAGAATCCCTTGGGATTTCCGCCCATACTTGAGACAGTAAGATTTTGTGCCATATTGTTGTTATTTGGTTGTTAAATTTCTACAAAAAAAAATAGTATGTATGGACACAAAATGTGCACACAGTCACATCTCTAACCATTTGGCTACTCAATCAACAAAAAGTCTAAATCAAAAGCACTTTACTCTTCAGAAACTGTAACTCTGTTCCTAAACAACTGCACACTCCTCTCGGTGAACTCGGGAGTTCATGTATAGGACATGTGAGCATTGTTATTAGCTTCTTCTGTCAGGGGAACACAATTGGAAACTTTCATAAAGTCCAGGATGGGCATGTATAATTCATGGAGGATTGGGATAAACAAATCAAAAGGCATGCAGGCAGACAGAAACAACTGAGGAAACAAATTGTGTGCATTTGGCTCTGCACTGCATGCGCCTTCGTAGGAGTGACTTAATGTCTGTCTCTGCTATTTTTTTCTCTCTTTTTTTTGTCTCCCCACTCTGTGTACATTTAAATATGTGAATATCCATTTCAAAGAGGACTGAATGCACTCCTGGAAGAATATGAGGCTGTTTTTTTATTTTATTTTTTTTTTGTCTGTTTACAACAGCTACAAGAAAGAAACCACATGACCTGGGCAAACCTGATACTTTGATCTTTTGTTATTTCTCGCCTCAATTTGAAAACAGACCACCACAGACAGAGACGCACTCATCTATACACGGCACAGTCATCTTATTGTTATTTCCCCCAAAATATTACTTTGAATAGAGAAGGAAAATCTAGAGCTGTAAAAGAAAGAGAGCAGGGCACAAATGAAGTAACATCCAGTGTTGTCTGCTGCAGGCTCAGACCAAATTCTATCCACATTCACACCAAGAAAAAAACGTCCTGGTAGACATTCCTATAACGCTGCATCTAATGGTCATTCAGAAACACACACACACGGTGTGAATAAGTACAAAAACCCAGTCGGAGTGAGCATATTTAACTTAATGCCTGCACCGACAAGGTTTTTCAAAGCAAGTGCAACTGGAGGTGGGAAATTAATGGCTCGGTTCCCCCACATGGCTGTGGAAGAAGATTATTCCTTCAATCCCCTTAATTCCATTTGCTCTAATGAATATGTGTGAGAGCATGTGAGAGGGGGAGAGAGGAAATCACAAGTGTATCCAAGAAAATGGAGCAGGCTGATGTGTTTTAATTAACACTTTCTCACTCTCTCATGCTTATCAGCGGGGTGATGCATTGTTTTGTGTCTCGATACGCAATTGTCTGTAATCGTGTCATTGTGCGATTCTTAATCAGCGCTCAATGACGTTCCAGATTCGTCTCAGTGGAGCCGGAGGGGTTGAGGGGGGATAACGGTGTCAGACGGTCAAGTCTGTCAATTAGATGCACACTGAAAACTAGAACAATTATTGGATTAGCTGCTGATCTGTGTTGTCATTTGAAAATATATCAAAATGGGTTGCGAGATAAAGTCCAAAGAATGGGACACTGGTGCAAAGCAAAAGCCTTTGAAGCTACGGGAGATAAATAATGACAAAAGACCATATCACAATGTTTAAAGTTTCCCTTCCTTTTACCGATGCCTTCACACAATGAGATTGTTTTCGGTTCTTTGTAAGCTCTCTGTAAATTAGGGCTGAAGTGGAATCATGCAAATGAACATTTATTACCAAAACCTTATTAGGAAAGCAGACTTTGATATCTAATTATTAAGATTCACTGTAATTGACGTTAGGCGAACTGCAAAGGGTGAAATTTTACATCAAAGAGGAAAAACAAAGCAATTCCCCGCGAGATTCTCTGTATTTGAAAAAGACACAGATTTCAAAATCATGACCGACTCGTGTTTTTTCACTTGTGTATTTAAAAATAACTAAAAAGAAACAATAAAAATATGTAGTTATAGTAGTTAAAAGTATATTTTCTGAGATGGTTCAACAGCATTTCTGTTGATTTGAAAGATTTCTAAAAAAAATAAAATAAATAATTGAAATATTTTAATATCACAATACAGTGATGAGTTTTAGATCAATCAAGCCAATTTCATTTTGTATTTATTTACACGTTGCGATACTCGGTATGCTGAAATTTCACTATTCGTAAAGATCCATAACGCTGTGCATTACAGTCATGTAAAAAGACAAATCAGTTTGTTGGTAAGCCCAAGAAATGAGCCAAAAAAAAATAAAAAAATAAAAAGATTTCATGTAGTGTGGTTTTTATGGAAAACATCCAGTCTTCTAGGTATAAATTAATCACAGTAAAAACATGAAGTAGACTTCCCTCATCCATAAAAATGGAAATCTATTCCCCCTTAAGCAAAGGAGTAGACTATGTTTTCTGTCAATAAAAAAAATCAATACACACACATACAACCATCTTATTTTGTAAAAAAAAATAAACAAAAAAAACATGTATATATGTTACTTCTAATAACTTGCAAAACTAGTCATGTTTTGTTGAACCATCAGTGGGAACACCTTTGGAGCAAAACCAACATCCTTTAATCCAAGAAATCTTGCCAAAATAGACATTTACTTCTTATGCCGTTTATTCCTTAATGGTCCTGGCAGTGGTGGGGAACAGGTTCATCCCTCAGAATAGATCAGTCTGGACTGCACATGTGAACCGAGCTGATAAATAAAAAGCAGAAGTTGTACCTTCAGAGGAGGGAAAAAAAAAATCTAGGTCTGTGGCTTTTTTGTTCGTATCTCAAAGACATTTATCTCATGAACCCTGCTGAATAGTTAATAACTGGAAACTCCGTGAGCCATCTCTGCTGCTGCTGCTTTCAGTCCTTATATTCTCATAAAACAGATATTTTGAAGTATGACTGTTCTCGTACGGCGAACAGAGAGGCCCGACAATGACCTAAACTGGCCCTCGTGTGTGTCTGGCGGTAATGGAGCTGTCAAGGGCCAGAGACTGAGCATTAGGTTGATAGATGGCAGTGGAGTGATGCTAATTAACCCTGATGCTTTACACGTACACATTGCCTCTGTATCTCAGACATACAGTGGGGTGCAGGAACACGTGTCGTTTTCGAGCAGTTACACCGAAACGCTCGCTTTGAGTCAGGTGCGCCAATTGCTGAACGTGAACACGTGGGATTTCCTCGTTTTAAATGCGCTTTAAATGTGCTTTAAATGCTAATTAAAAAAAAAAAAAAAAAAAACACGCAAATGCTCATGCTTTGCAGGCGTTACTAAAAAATGACCATAAAACGTTTCCCCCATGCTGCGCAAGGAATGATAAATCGGGAAAACTTAGCTGCATTTACTGCAGGCGCACCACACTGCGAAATTGATCCGAGTCGGTTTGAGGAATTGTTTGCTTGCTCAAAATTTGACTCAGCCCTTTAATAGCCAGCGCGAGTTTCCATTTAATGAGACGAGGACTGGCACTGAGGAATGTTATCTAGCTAATTTACCCGACAGAAGATGGCTGTGGCTGAGATTCCACTGTCGGTTCCCCCCACTGTCTGTCCCCGAGTCCATCTGTCTCTATTTTTGTTTTTGTTTTTTTTTCCCTCACAATTTGTCCCTTTGCCTTTGTGTGGCACAAATTATTAGCAGATTCCCCTCGTCCCCCCAACCCCGCCGGGCTTCTGGAGTCTTTGAGGGTCTTGGTGCGGTGGGCATGAAATGCAAAACAACATAACCCGAAAACAGGGAAGTAAGTAAATACTAAAAAAAAAAAGAAAATCACATCTTGGCTGAGACTAGACAGAGAAAAACCCTTACAAGATCCCAGACAAATACCACTTCTTCTTCCCATTTATGTCCTATTCCGATAGTTTTGACTTCAATATCTCATTTAATTTTTTGTTTTACTTTGTGTAAAAGCCTTGCACATCTTCTTGCAGGGTTTGTCCACTAAAGTGCTTTTAGTGATATAGGAGAGAGTTGGTTTTATACAAAGTCGATGACCAGAACAGGCTGATTTTCATCCCGACCGATCGACGGGATTGTAAATCCAGTACACAAATGTCTTATTTTGCCAGTTTGTGCACCATTTAGGCATTAACTTTGTGTGTTCATCATTACAGGAGGCATGAGACTCAAAGTTGCAGACTGTTGCTATACCCGAGTGGCTTGCTTGTCATCTCACTCCTTCTCAATTTCATACTTTTGCAGTTTCAGTTGTTTTTCCCCACCCAACTATTTTCAAGCATGAAAAGTAGCAATCTGCCACAGGGAGTCGATTTGTTCCTGCCTCGGGTACATTTTGTCAAATGGGTGAAGGGGGTAAAATTTTACCTCAGCCAGTGTGCCAAGTACAGGAAATAAATAAAGAAAAAGAGAAATGAGAGTAAAGTGAGCATAAATAAAATCAATGGTGAAAGTAGAATAAAATTAAAGTAAATAACCATAGTTAAACGTCCCAAATTAGCTGCAGCTGAATGTTAAATGCTTCAAGGTCTGTGTACCTCTGATTTGGAGAACATTTAATATTTAGGAGATTAAAAAATCCTCTTGTTTTGAATGCAGGAACTAATAATTTGCATTTTTTTTTCTTTTTTTTTTGTTTTATTTTCATTTACTTAATCCAAAAGAGACGTAATTACTGTTCTACTCATGGCTATCAAATACCAAAACACCTTTTGAGCATATTTTTGGCAGAGTAAAACTTTTCAATAGGAAACAACTTAATTTAATCACGTTAGAGGAGAAACGAGGCGTTGATTGGACGAGCCGCGAAGGCATCGACAAATCTGCATGCAGAGAAAGAATGAGAAGAGGTGAGGAGGAACAACGGTTTAAAAACTTTTGAGAAAATAAAAAAAAAGCAAGAGAAAAGACAGCAGAGGTGAACAGCAATCATCTCGTCAAAGCAAACTGCAAAAGAAAGCGACAGGGGTTCGGGGGGTAACAATCATCGGAACAGATGCGTGAGAACTAATGAGGGGATGTTTAGCAAAAGCATAAAGACAAAAGAGGAGGCATGAGAGAAAAGGGAAGAGAAGGGGACTGATGAGAAAAAGAAAGAAAAAGCCTATGGGAGGAAACATCCAACAGAGAAAGGCAAAGTGAGAAAGAGATGAAAGATGAAGAAACTGAAGGAGAGGAAACGGAGATAATTGGTGCAACACAAACAGAGGATTTGGTAAAGTGACACAAGTCCCAGGAAAAACAGATGGAAGTAAAAAGTGAATGAAATTAAACAAGGGACTTGTTTAAGTCTGCTAAAAGGTTGAGACGAAAAGAACCGACGCCGATGGTAGATGAAAAAAGGAAATAGAAAAGCGACCATTGTGCGGCATAAATGAACAAAAGGGAGACTGATTTCAGCAAAGGCAAAAAAAAAACAAAGGTTTTCAAAGGGGGGAAACTACAAAAAAAAAAAAAAAGGCAGAACAAAAGAATAAGACATGGAGCACATTTTAAAATTCATCCAAAACGTCCATGCGTTCCTGGTCGCATTTCTCTTTTCATGTTTTCAGGAAAAAAATAAAAGGGGGGGAGAAAAAAAAACAGCGCTGCCATGTTTCATCTTGATGGTGTAATTTGTGAACGGCGTCATGTACGCTCGGATGTGTTAAAGTGCAGAGAGCTTAAGACGCAGATAATGAACTGAATCGATGGTTGTCTAAGGTCTCTTAGCTAGTTTTTATCTCACAGACTTATGTATAAGCGAGCGAGTGAATTAATGGCCCAGCGAGCCATTAATTCCCAGGAGCTCTTCAGTGGCAGACTGTAGCAGAGAAGGTCTGATGGTGATAATGCTTCACCACCGAAGCCATGGGACTCGCCCAGCAAGACCGCTTTACACCCCGTCTGCTTTGCCTCTGAAAACTGACTTCAAATGTTAGCAGCCCATTAAATAGCCATTATCAGCTGTGCTCAATCCTTAAAGGATGCCTCAAAATGGCTTATGTAGCACCTAGGAGTAGGAGTAAGTAAAGAAGGTGCTCGTTTGTGTCTTTGAAATCAAAATGACGTTGGAAGACGCAGGTCAAACTTGAAAGAGGGAATTGTTTCGAATAATTGTTTCACTGTCCTATAGGGACTATTTAATGTTTCCATTTCACTTCAGGTCCCTTTTTTTGTAACTTAAAGAAGTAAAGGAAACCGCGATTCACTATTATATTATTATAATGTTTGAATATATTTGATCAACCGTGTTAAAAATTCAAAAACTGAAACAATGGCTGCCTCAATTTTCGTTTGTGAAAGTCAAAATAAGACCAAGATTGCCTAAGTGAAGACAAATAACTTTTTTTTTAATTAAAGAATTGATGCATTATGGGGAAAAATGTGAAAAGATACATGGAAACAATGTTTGACCATATTTTGTGGAAATATGAGATAAAATTTCACAACATGCATCCAGGGTTGAGTAATGCCAGTCCTGTGCAACCAAGCAGAAGTTCAACATAAAGTAAATATCTAAAAAAAAATAATAATAATAATAATCCATCATAATTTGATCTACATTCAAACATGGCGGTGATGGAGAGATGGTCTGGTGATGTTTTGTTCCACTTTACTATAACTTATGAATGTATTATTTATTATTTTCCTTAGCATAGGTTAAAGAAAAACTTTACATTTATAATAAAAAACACAAAACACAACCACTACTTGACAATTTAAGTGGTTGATTAACGCAGTGCTACATTTACGGAATAAACACGGACAATGTCGACGTGGAAAATTGATCAATTAGGATTTAAAGTTTATTTTTCAATGTTACACCTTTGATTGGTGCTTGTAGCATTTGATTTGTAAACTGTGATAAAACTGTAGTCAGCTGCCAGTTAGGCCCCAAGACTGTTCCCTCCTCCCCCCCACACACACACACATTTGCAGGTAATCACAGATAAATTGTAAAACCAATAATTAGTCTAATGTGGCTTTTGTGTGAAACTTGCAAGTGGACTCTGCAATTTGACGGCACGAGGGTTACCTCTAATTGAGGAGGAGGAGGATGACTTGCTGTAATCACCTTGGAGACAAGATGAAAGGCTTGGATTACAAGCTATTGGAAAGGAGGTATTGACTAATTACAGATCCACTTCAGGACAGTTTAATCCAACCTCGATGTCCATCCAAATATTTGACAATTTGTAAGGCACTCGTTCTCGAATAGCAATGCAATCAAGTTGTTTAAATGCCCTTTGAGAGCTGCACAACATTCATGGATGCATGACAGGAGAGACGGGGGGGAATCTAATGGCGAGGAAAAAAATGTAAGATGCAACACCAACCCACTGAATCAGTTCATTTAAATTTCCAAGAGGAACTTGCAACACAAAGATTTACAGATCTGGAAATGCATCTCTGCCTGCTGCTGCTGCAGATGCTGGGGAGGAGACAAAGTCAGAGGGTTCACTGGAAAATGCAACACCTTACAAACTTTTACAGAGGGTTTAGGTCTGAGTTTGTCAGGGAGTGGAGAAATATGACGTAAAAAAGGACAGGAGGCAGGCAGCTGAGGCTAAAGCCTTTAATATAACTATTGATAAATCATTATTTTTCCTTCTCTCACTATCGTACACACTCACTTTTCACAGCACTGTATCTAACTCACTGAAATCAACACCGACTGGCACACACAGAACAAATGCCCATCTGTTACCACCCAACTCTGAATGCCCTGAATACAAATCTAGTAATTATACACAAGGGCTGCACAAGAAATTCAAAAACACACAAACCAGCTGCCTACTCAGGGAAATAAATAAAAAAATTAAAAATGATCCTATTGTTCCAAATCATTGAACACCTTTTAGTAGCACATAAAACTAGGAGTGTGTCCTCCTGTTGTTTAAACCTTTCTGACCCGAGTGTGAAAATGAAGCAGCCCAAATAATCTAAATGACTAAGAGTCTCTCCAAGTCTGCTGGCAGAGAGGCAGTGTTGTCTCTAGGCATTGCTGGACATCTGTGTGCTGCCCTTGGGCGGCGGTGGGTCCGGCATGGAGTTGTCACTTTGGGTTGAGGGTGTGGCGTCTACCACCAGAGGGACAGGATTTGGCTGTATACTGGGGGTAGGAGTGGCAAGGGGGTTTACTGGGGTAAGGTTGTGAGGGTCTTGGTGGGACGAAATGGGGCCTGGGAGCTTTGGATTGTGCCCTGATGGACTGTGGCGTTTTGGAGGCTGGGTGTGCCTGCAGGGGCATGTGTGTGGATATTACCACAGACACCCATGGAAACACTGGGAACTGGGATCAGGGGCCTTTACTGTGGTCCTCCTTTGCTCCCGTCCAGCACCTGAGCAAATTTGGCATGAACTAGAGGTGCTTATGGGCCGTTCGTCTTAATCTCCCAGGGGTTAGATCACAAGGTGGATGACCTTCGCTGCCCTTAGGTGCTATGAGTTTTAGGCCTTCCAGCCTCACTTGCATACACTTACAGGCAACCAGCTGACAAACATGCTCTCATACATCTACGAGCCACCACACAAATAGGATACCATTTTCAGATGTCCTTTCTGTGCAGCAAACCTGCCATGACACATGTAGGCAACCATCTTCTCTCTATGACATGCCTGAAATGCCAAAGACAGCCTGACACATCAAATTAGCTCCCAAACATACACCAAGGGAATATGACATGTACTGGATTCAGTCCTCCAAGCTGGTTTTTTCACAATGACCTAAATAAATTTGAGGGGAATTTAAATTTGTCTTTGCCAGTAGTATCCAAAAATGGTTAAGAGAACTTTCAGGAGATCTCACCAAACTAGAAAGGACAGGGCATCAAAATGACTTTGAAAGTGGTATGAAATGTCACTTTGGCTGGTCTGGGCATTTCTGAAACTACTGGCTTACTGCAAGTTGGTGTTGGATGAGAAAGGGACAGACTAGTTCAGAGTTATAGAATGGCAACAGTTCCTCACATAACCCGCTCAACAAGAATTATGGCCAAATAGCATCAGTAGTCAGACAGAATTTTCTTTGAACTGCTATTTTTTACTTTGTAGGCTACCATTTACTACCTGGGCTAATGGGTGCAAATCTGCAGCATACAGAGAAACGCTCTGCAAACACATGAATGTTCCAAACAGAGATGGTTGCAGCATTTTGCCTCTAGTTGTAGCATTTTGTGCTAGCATTTGTTTTGTGGATTGTAGATTTTTGGTTCCATTTTCTGTAACCACAGCATTTTTATTTTTGAAATTATTATTTTTTGTTTGTTTGTAGCGTTGATTTCTTGCATTTCATTTTTTGCGTTTGTATGTTTTGGAGTTTGCGTCATTGGAGCATCTTTTGTCCTTTGATGTGCATTTGCACCCGTTTCCTGGAGACTCGGAGGGATAGATTGTATTCTTATGTTTGAACAATTCAAACATAAGAATCGCACTCTGGTCCTGCAAGTTTTGCGCTTTCGCTCTCTTGGTGACGCAACGCGCCTGGAGCCGTAAATGTCTCCAGGTGCACGGCAAAAACAGCTAGGGAACTTTATTTTTTTTGTTTTGCTTTGTAAAAAACAGAGTAGTTGGTACGTACACAAAACCAGCAAACAAAACCTGCTGGACTTGGAGAGTTTTGATTCAAAGGATGTTTGATTTTTACTAAAGGTATTCCCTTGTACCAAACCCATTAGGCATGTTAGGCATCATGCAATACGCCAGCAGACCTGCGAGGAAAGCACTTACAATCTTCTTAATGAAAAACAACTTAGCAGCAAATGAGGGGCTACAATAGGAAGTCTTTGGATATCACTCGAGCATGCTGCTAGGGCGAGAAAAAAAAACAAAACAACAAAAAACAGTGTTTGATGCAAGTTGTTTGAAAAATCAAAAATGACAAACTTCACAGAAAGCGGGACGCAGTATACACTCACGTGCACCCATGCAAAACTCAATCATACTAAGCAATTGCTTTGATTAAAAGGGGTGTGTGTGTTTTCTTGAGTTACTGTGGGGGCAGCGGCACTCCTTACCTTGTTATGCATGCGTGACCTGTTTTGATTCGTCTCGGTTTGTAGGCTCCCGTCTGAGCTCAACCATTAGCCCAGCAGGTGGCTACTTCAGTCATGTTTTGTACATCACTTTGGAAACTTATAACAGGAAGAGTTAAAAAAAAAAAAAGTTTGCTAATTTGCCTGCTGCATCATATGTAGTTTTAAAACCAGAGCAATGCACAAGTGGACAAACTACAGCGCATCATAAATCATACTACTGTATAAGACGAAAAAATGTGTGTGTTAATATAGTTCCCTGCAAGCTTATTTCCCATCCCGTCTGCATCAGTTGCTTTAGTTACGTTTATTGTGCAGATAAAAGAAAAATCATTAAAAACAATTACCCCCACTCTTTTATTGAATAGTATTGTGCACTGGAAAGACTGAAATAAACGCTCTCACAATTTACAAAGCTGAATCGATGGCAAACGTGATTTCAATAAAACCTGTTAGTTTAAAGGTGACACTTTTTTCTTTTAAACATCAGCCCATGCCTAGAGATAAAAAACAGACGCGAGTGCAGTGAAGTTGTAGTCGTAGTCGTACCAAAAAGCCATTTGTGATGATTTGAGATTTGTGAAATGATGCATAATCCTGTTAGACATGAGAAGACGGGCACACTGTGGTCATAGAGGGATGGACATAATCGGCAAAGACACTCAGCCAGGCGTTTGGAGATTAAACAACGAGGAATTGGTAGAAAAGGGCGACTGGTGAGCAAAGAAAAATTTCTCCCACCATCCTGAGTGGTTGATAAAAGGCAGGATGGATTTATGTTTTTCATGTCTTTTGACTGTACTGTATGAATTTTGCAACTGAAACTGGGAGATATCTGTTCGAGCAACTTTTTAAAATCGGTTCTGAACAATTGCAATCACTGCCATGCGAGTATAACGTAGACCAACCATCAGCTGCTAAAATCACTTTGTATCTTCCTAACACTGTTAATATAACACTCCACTCTCCTGGTCCGCGCCGCACCACAGCTTGAGTAAAGGTTTAAATTTTAAGACTGCACTGTCAAGACTGGCGCTTTAATTCAGTCGAGTTAACACGGAGGAGAACTGAAAATGGCGGCACCCATTTCCGCATTCAAACTCATTAAGCGTCGGCGTTCCAGCCAAGCGCACTAAGAAATTTGAAAATGTTTGAGCACCACACGCTGAAAACTGTTGCTCGCCGCTATAATCCCAGTTAGTAGGTGAGTTTCCTTCACATCTTGTGTTGTGTAGAGGCAGATGAGATGATCCCCCCCCAAGTGTTTGTTGTGACGCTGATTAAACCCACTCTAATTTGCAGAACCTAACAGCCTGTTGCCACAGCAGTCCTGGTGTCTTCACAGAGTAGGAGAAAAGCACAAATGCACTCTGACATTCTAACATTTGTCTCGAGATTCAAACAGCGGCGCAGCAGATGGCGAGACTTTCTGCTCATCTATTTCTTGTGCTCCCAAGCATAACTAAGAGACCATTTGTGCGCACCCACCTACAGGTTAGCAGTGAAACAAGACAGTGGTAGTTCCAATAACTGTGCAACTAATATATAGAAGGCCATATCACTTTATTCAATTTTTCAATTTGAAATCCTCTAACTGATTGTATACCGTTATTAAAACACGAATCCCGTTAAATTCAAGGTTCACACCAACAGCCGGCAGAAGAGAATCAGTTAATCTTTAAATGTTGAAAGAAATGTTTAATCTTCGGTCAGTGGCCATTTCCTCAAAAGGGTTTTCGGCAGAAAACAGAACCTCTAAAAGCTAGTTGTACCTAATGAAGTCAATAAATTTCAATTACGTACCTAAATATGGCTTATTTCTAGAAAACCTTTAAGCATCTGCTTTGCAGATATGAAGGCTTACGGGGGTTTTAGACAAATCCTGTGGTTTGAAAACAATTTAGTGAGAAGCAAGAGAAAATGGAGCTTTCCCCAGTTCACATACAGAGTAAGAGTGGGTGATTTTGTCCCTCCTTCAATTCATACTTTTGCAATTTCTTTTTTTCATATCCTAAATTTAAGGGATTTATTTTGTTTTTTGCCTATTTTGACAATATAAGCTGGTTTTGTGCATGTCTGCTGTGCAGAAATGGGGCTAAACAGTTGCCATTTTTTTAAACCAACTTTGGGTCGTTTTAATATCTCATTTCGGCGTGAAGCTCCCTAAATGTAAAACAGAGACAAAGTGAATAGAAAAAAGGAGAGTTCAGCTAAATTTTTGTATTCATCTCCCTAATACATTAAAGTACTGAAATTCCAAAGCAATGTGATTAGCAATTCTTTAAATACAGAGAATTGAAAAGATTTGTTTACAAGTGCAAAAGCAAAGCTGGTAGGGAAGAACTTTCAAAGCCTGGGTACAAAACGACGAAGGGCGAATTAACCCTTCACTGGAGCATAATGCGAAGCAGATAAAGTGTCCACTCATTGTGAGTAAAGTTAAAAGCAATTTTTTTTCTTACAGAGGCAGAAAGAGAGTTTATATTGTTGACATGAAGGGAACTGATTTTACATGACTGCTTACATTTGAGTCCTTATTTTGAAGTAAGAAAAGACGAAATTAAGTTGTAGCTCAGTTGCTGACGCTAAACCGAAGAGCTATTTTTGATTAAATATAGTCTCAAACAAATCAGACTTTTTACACGTTGAATCTATAACAGTGTTTTAGTCTACTTGAGTTTCTTTGCTATAAATTCACTAGCAAAAAGATAAAAAAAATAAAAATAAAAATGAAAAAAAAGAATAGCCTTTAAAAATTAACCGGCCAGTGTGACGACCTTCAGCTTTCAGCCAATCAAATGACGCTCCTTTGATCACATGTCAGACAGTTAGCTTGTTAGCATAGCTATTTGAGTTGCCTAAATAAACTTATGTCGTCTAAAGTTTAGTGAGTTGCATTTATGTTTACCACCCTCCTCTCTTCTTGGTATGTTTTTGGGAAAAACATTTTAATGATATACACAGCAGCTGTTGTTTGCACTCAGAAAATATTTAGTAATGCTAATTTAATACGCACACCTTGGAAACAGCTGAAGCTCATTGGAAACGTTCAAGGATGAGGCTAAGGAGGGGGAATACGACGTTTGCACACTTTTGACCTTTGTTCACGTTCCACTTTCATAAAGGTACCCACCAACACGAATGATTCCTGCATCCCACCGGGCAGCGGTACAGGCGAGAGAGCTGGAGGACCGGCTCGTTATCTGCTCCATGTGGTCTCGAGGGAAGCGCCATCATTCTGTGTTTTGAGGGAGGAACACGCGCTGAGAGGAAGCGGTTTCCATTTCTGAACACCCCTCGTGTTTTCCATCCATTTTCTGCAACTGACATTTTCTCACAAAGTAGCTATGAAAATATTCATACACCATTAGTTTTTTTTGTTTGTTTTTTTTTTTGTAGTTTGTCATGTTACAAGCGCAAATGTCATTGCATTTTACTGGGATTGTATGCGATTGACCGACACGAGATAATTGCAAAGCAGATGGAACGGTGGAGATTTTCGACATGGGCGTTTTCCCCACGGCAGCATTAGACATGGGAGGCGCACAAACACTGGATGAAAAAAAAAAAAATCGTCTGCTAGCTGCGTATTTGTTGTTATGATTGCGCAGCCGACGGAAAGCTTAAGAGCCCTGCTTGGTGCTGAGAATCGGGAAACGCATTTTACCTCACCAAAGAATTTAGTCCAAAACATTTTTTTGGAATAATCTCACCTGAATCACCCACTCAGCCGCTTGTCTGACTAATGCTCTCCTTCCCTCGCCTGCGACTTTGGATGGGGAATTTAGCCTTGCAGCTGTATTGTACGTCCCCTTTTATGAAATGACACATTGAACGGAGCTCCGCGGGACGCTCAGAGCCTGGGATATTGTTTTAT